AGTCTTTGATCTAACAATCTTTCAATTTCGTAACTAAGAGTTATTTAAGGTAACTTATTAAATAGGAAGTGATCGCACCCATTGCTCTGATGAATTTTTTGAATGCCCTGAGTGGCCTGTTCATATGTGTAAGTAATAATGGTAGGATATACAGAGTTATGGAAAAGTTCCCAGTGTTCCAATAAATTTTTCTGAAAAACCTTGCCTCAGTATGTCATATTTCCACATGAGATAATACCTTTGGCTTAAGATATTGGACATTTAAATAATCTTGAAAATGCATTAAATTTTATTTAAAAAATTTTTTTTATTTTAATTTTAATTTTTTGTTTTTGAGATGGAGTCTCACTCTGTCGCCCAGGCTGGAATGCAATGGTGCGATCTCGGCTCACTACAAGCTCTGCCTCCCAGCTTCACGCCATTCTCCTGCCTCAGCCTTCCTAGTAGCTGGGACTACAGGCGCCCGCCACCATGCTCAGCTAATTTTTTTTGTATTTTTACTAGAGCCGGGGTTTTACTGTTAGCCAGGATGGTCTCAATCTCCTGACCTCGTGATCCGCCCGTCTCAGCCTCCCAAAGTGCTGGGATTGAAATATCATTTTACTGATAATTTTACTGATTAAAATATCAGTAAGGCACCACACCTGGCCAAAATGCATTAAATTTTTATTAGTTATTAAGCCTCAAAGAGTTTAGGAAATGTGGAGAATTCCTTAGCTATGTAAGGGCATATTTTGTTTTGTTTTCTGGTTTCTTCCTATATACCTGCTTCACTCCTTTTTAAACTTCCCTTCTACCTATCATCTGCCATCCACAGATCTCCTTTAACTCCCTCCTCACCAATGCAGACTTTGGTACCTAGTTTTCATTCTTATCACATGCCACTGATTTAAATGTCAATGTGAATGGCTTATCTAATACTGTAGTCTGGACTCTCAGTTCTTTGTCGAGTCCAATGACCTTTATTTTCCTTTCACTTCTGATGTTCACCTCTACAGCAGCATGCTGGGTGGTTATACTTAACCACTGCATCTCTAAACTCTCACACTCGGTTATCCCACTGTCTGAAAATATACCTCTTTGAAAATATACCTCTTCTGTCTAGAAGTCACATTGTGTGAGGACTTCAGATTTATTATTCTTTCAATTTATCATCCCCTCCTTTATTAGCCAATGAATCTCACAACCACGCAGGTAAATGCCCTTATAAATTTCTGATCTTCACCTTCAACTGCCTCCTTAACACAACACAGATGCTCATATTATAGGAATGTGTTAAAACAGTGGTCCCTAACATGTTTAGCACCTGAAAACAGGTGAACTCTCTATACTCTCAGCAGTTTTCCTTACTCTCTCAGCTATATGTACTTTCTTTATGGTCACTACCTTTACTTATGACTCTCAATAAACATTGCCTGGATTACTGTAAGCCTCTGAACTGATTCCTCTGCCTCTGTTCTTGTCTTGCCCTATGCCTACTCTGCTTTCCAATCCATTGTTCACATTGTTATTTAAGTACTTTTTTCCCAAATGGTCATAGAATACTATCAAACCCAAACTAAAATCCTTCAGTGTCTCTCTATATCCTTATAAAGGAGATAAAAGACACTTCATCTTTTATTATCCTAATTATCAAGCCACTACCAGGCAGTCTTGTGTTTTGTGTTTCTGCAGTACTGAATTGCTGATGTTTTCTTGTATTGGCTACTGTTCTATTCCTGTGTATCTCTGTGCTTGTTCTTTCACCTGCGAGGAATACCCTTTTCTAAGTGGGTAAATGTTTTATCCTTAAAAATCCTGTTCAGGCATTACCTCCCCTGTGAACCTTTTCGTGATGTCTCTTCTCCACCCTCCTACCCTTCAACACAATTATGCCTTTTCACGTAGTACTTCTTTTATTCCACTTAAGTACTTCTACTACATATACTATCTTCTATTTCATATATAGGCACTATTATTAAGCTAGCGTTCTCTTCTTGCTAATTGTGCATCAGCCTTTCTTGTCATATTTCAGTTTTTCTTTGTATCCTCAGTGTGTATCAGCTTTTCTCGTCATTTCAGTTTGTGTTTGTATCCTCAGTTTCTAGCACATAAACATAGGTCTTTACAACTTTTTTGCTGAGCTGAATGAAACTAAGTCATTATTATAGCTTTTAACACAGGGGTTTCTAACTACTGCCCACCCACCCCTGCCCCGGGGCCCCAGACTGGTACTGGTCATTGGCCTGTTAGGAAACAGGCCACAGAGCAGGAGGTGAGCAGCAGGTGAGTGACTGAAGCTTTATCTGCATTTACAGCCCCTCCCCATTGCTGGCATTACTGCCTGAGCTCTACTACCTGTCAGATCAACAGCGGCCCATAGGAATGTGAACCCTATTGTAAACTGCACATGCAAGGGATCTAGGTCGTGTGCTCCTTATGAGAATCTAATGCCTGATGATCTGAGGTGAAACAGTTACATCCCAAAACCATACCCCGCCCTTCCAGTCTTCCATGAAACCAGCCTCTGGTGCTAAACATGTTAGGGACCACTCTTTTAACACATTCCTATAGTAATTATGAGCATCTGTGTTGTGTATGTGTTAGCATATTCTTCATAAAATGCTTTGTAAATGTTTGAGGAATGAATAAAAGGCAACTATTGGCAGGAGGTTGGCAAGGAGATCATTTGGTAAACATCAGGTAATGCTACTTCTTCAGCTTTCTGAGTTGCCAGGCTTTCAGGGACACCACCCAGATTTAACAATTAACTTACTGAGTTGAAATTGTCTGTTTGCATATCTGTACCCTCACTAGACAGCACATACCATGAGATCAAGTAACCAGTTTGTGTGTGTGTGTGTGTGTGTGTGTGTGTGTGTGTGTAGTTCTAGGTATTGTGAAAGTGGAGTTAAATAAAATATGAAAATATAAGTTTACATAAAACCTCTACTTATAAGTAGTAAAACACATTATAAATTATTATCCTTCTAACTGGGATATCTATTTCCACTGTTGCTTTATCTCAATCCATTTTCCAATTCTTTGAGTGGCCGGGGCAGGGCAGGAAGCAGGGGTGGGGCAGGGTGACCAAAGTAAGTATTTACTTAGAAAATCAATAACAACAAATTACAGATTTTTAAAAAGATGATAAATACCACAAATATTTTAGAAATTCAGTAAAATGATATTTTAAATTACCTGAACCATTGCTATGTTTTTCCTATATTTTTAGTTTTCATTTTTTTAATTGCCTCATCATTTGACAGTAATTTTGTAATGCACTTTCAATTTGATAATGAATAATGTGGTATTCTTTTCAAAGCAAATTTAGTCAACATGTATTTTTTGTTATTGAAAGCTTAGAAAAGTTATTGCAGTTTCACAATTTGTTATTGGTAATAATGTCAATTTTTAGTATTGCTAAATTTGGGGAAACTCATGAGGTTCTTATGTGAACTCTGTGATTTCAGGGCACTTTTCAAGTTTTCTCAGGCAGTGTTTAACCTTAAATACTCTTTAAGTTGCTAAAAGCCATTAACCTGTTTGTTGTCAAGTTCTTGTTGTAAGTATGAGTTCTAGATTATCCTTGTAGATACCAATATTTTATGTCACATCAATAAGACATTGCGAAATGTTTCGATATTTTTATATGGTTCATTTTTCAATTATCAAAAAATCAAGGAGTCTGTCTATTCTACTGTAATTTCTCTCTTCCTGTCGATAAATTACTAATATTGATCTGAATTGGAATTCTTCCAATTTACATTTTTGTCACAATAGTTTCTACTGACTTCATACAGTGATATGCACAAATTAATTTTATTGTAAGATGTATATAAAATTATACATGTTGCATTGTTAAGTATATTCCTGAAGAAGAAAATTTCTGTTGTGACTATATGAATGAGAACCACATCCTGAACTTAAAATTTTCTACATCTGGTGGTTGGAATATATTGATTCCACTGTGCAGACTTTTGGTGCCTCACCCCAAGGGATGCCTTTTTAGCATGACCATCTCTGACCCTGGACCCTAGGTCTCTCATACCAGGCGAGTTGTCTCAGTGGATGGTAGGAGTGTTTCTGGAAGCCATTTCTACACGGAGACAGCTAGCAATAACATGATTATACATGGAAATGCTTGTGAAACTTCGTACCTTACAAAATGGTAAATCCTGATAGTGCCCACTTAAAGCCGTTCAGTGTTTCCCAGTTCATTTTCAACTGTCTTTTTTGTGCTTGGGGACGTGAGGCACTGCCACCTCCACATCCCTCAGTACAAGCAGACAGTCCCCCATCTGGGGACACTCAAAGATAATGAAAAATGAGCAAAAGGATTGAAGGTGAAGATTAAAAAGAAATGATTAGGATGGAGTTGCCTTAATTCATTTTGTTCCTTTCAGGATGGCAGTCTGTGTGAAACGCTGTATCCCTGTCTGAGGTAAACCATGTCTCAAACATCTTCCTCCCTGCCAACCCAAATCCCGGCACCCACTAAATGGACCAAGGGGAAAGCTGGGCCTGCCAGCAGCTCTAACGGGGGAAGAGGAGTCCTGTGTACTCAGTCGTCAGCACGACGGCGGTCTCCCTCACAGAGGCGGCCTCCCTCACAGAGGAGGCCTCCCTCACAGAGACGGCCTCCCTCACAGACCCTGCCTGGAACCCGCCGCCAAGCCCCCAGCAGGCGGCCCGCCGGGCGCCTCCTAGTCTTCGCACAAGCAGGGCCACGGTCTGGGGTCCGGAAGGCCGTTCACGAGGGCGCGCCTTGTCCAGGGCTAGGCTGTCAGCAGCGCCTCAGTCGCGGCCTCCTGACCTCGACAACCGGCTCCCGGTGGCGCCGCCCCAACCCCACGCGCCTAGCTCGCCCGGGGAAGCGCGCGCCACCTTTTTAACGGTTCTACCCTCGCGGGCGTGCGGCGGCTCTCGAGGCTCAGCGCCCGAGGCCACGCCCCGCGCCCGACCTGGGCCCGCCTCGTGCCCCTCGGAGCCGCCTCCCGCCCCGCCCCCCGCCGCCGCCACCGCGGTCAGCCAGCGGACCAGCGGCAGGAGCCGTTCCCCGACGGGCAGCGGGGCGCTCGGCCTCCGCGTCTGGGCTGAGCGCGGCGACGCTGCTGCCCCGAAATCCTCGTGGATCTTGAGTCGGTAAGTGGCTGGGGAGGATGAGCGACACTGGGGGACGGAAGTCGGGCCCCGCGGTGTGGAGGAGGCGGGTGGGCGACGTCTCCCAGGCCCGACCCCCGGGAAAGTTGAGGCGAGGGAGAGAAGCTCTGAGGTGGGTCGGGAAATCTCTGAGGGCCCCTTCAGTCTCCTGTGGACCCTGAAGTGGGAGTGGGATGGGAGCGAGCGCGTCGGATGAGGGGAAGGAAAGTGTAGGGGTCGGGGGAGCCCGATAGAGGGGCAAGTGGCCGAGACCAAAGCCATCGCCAAAAAAGGAGCTAAGTACACAGCTCCCCTTGGCTCTGCCCCAGCACCTGCTGCCAGGCGGTGGGAGGCTTTCAAGACGATTTGCCCCCCTACACCCGGTGGCACAAGGTTTTCATTGCTGGTGTTTTAGTCAAAGCTACGGAAGGGACAGTTACATACTAAAGTAATCACAGACACCTTTAGCCCATCTAAATGTTAAATTTTGTTTGTTTTGAGAAATCCCTCAAATAGACCAAACAAAAAATTAAATTAGTTATACAGAGAAGGCATGAAATGGAAAATATGTTGGAACTCTCCTAGCTTCTAGGTTTTTGATATTTTCGTTTTAATTTGTCCTTAATAGTGCAACTAGGTATGTGGAACGTGAAATGTCTTTCACCACTTGAGTCATAGGTGGTTTATTTCTTACTCCCTGATATTTCCTGTATGTTTCTCTTTATCATTTTGTCAGTGTGAGCAGCTTACTTACAAGTAGCATTTGGTTTCAAGGAATCCTAACTTTGTAATGTTTTGAAGTTGGAAATTGAGGTGAAATTTTATCTGGTTATCATATGGGAAATATACACAAGGTAAATGCAAATATGGTCTTTTCATTTCATCATTTCACTTAATATGATCTTATTTCTCAACGGCAGAAGCATGAGTACTTTTCAAAGAAGACTAGAATTTATATTGGAGTTTAAATATAGTACTCAGCTTCTAAAACCAATGCATAGTATGTTTCATATGCTGTGACCTATGGTTAGTATGGCAGTATACCACGTCTGTAGCGTGAGGAAAGCACAGTACTCCCTAATTTATTTAGTATTCTAAGAAAAATAGTAAATTGAGGAAATGGATATTTCTAGCATATACCAGTTTATTCTGCATGGCCTTATAAATAAATGTTACTTTTCACATTAATTTTTAAATCTGTACACGCAGTGTCCACATGTAATAAGTGGACAGTCAGATATCTTTCTTTTATGTAACAAATAGGCAAGTTTTGATATAAAGGTGTGAACTTTGTAGTCAGATCCTAACATCTAGCACTTAGTAGCTGTGTGGACTTGGGCATGTCTCTTATTTTTCTGAGCCTCAGGTTTCTTATCTGTAAAGTGGGACTAATAATAATTTTCTCCCGCAGTTCATATATGGCTCAAAATTAAATGAAATTATATTTAGTATGTAGTAGGACCTTAAAAATGGTTCTTAATCAAAAAATTAGATTAATAAGATTTTGGCCAAATTGGTCAGTATATTTGCTTATTATCCCATTGTATTTTAGACAATTCTAGGTTTATTGGTAATATCAGGACTGATAAGGCCTGAAGATTCATACTTAGGTAAATTTTTTAAAACAGAAAAGGAACCTAAGATATAGTTAGTATTGCCAGATGTAGAATAGCAACTGTAAATAACTAATTTACCAATATTCTATTCATACAACTTGGCCTTTAAAGATGATTTGTTAAGTGCATGTGAACTTGAAAAACACTATCAGCAACCATTTCTCAGCATGTATTAATAGAAAGTTTTTTGGAGACATCGGATCAAAATATCCTTTAAAAAACATTTATACCACAAAACTATACATTTACATTTTAAAATTTACATATTACAACCTTATGATTGGCTGACTACTTGCTACCCAATGTTGTAGGCAGGATTCTGTTTATTTTGTAACTGTGCTTTGAATAGTTGATATCATACATGCCTACTCTAGGTAGTACCAGTAGCTTCAAGGGAAACTTTTTGATCTCTGCATTCCATGGATGAAGCAGGCATTAGAGTTTAAGACTGAATTTATTTAGTATAATGACTTTGTAGTGCAGTTAAGTCTATTATTTTTAACTAAACTGAGAATTACGTTTTAGTTTATGGAGTTCTGCCTTAATTATAATCCTGTGAATCAGTTTTACAATAATAATTACTTTTATAAATACTTAACGTTTTTCATTAATTAACATGATAGTGGAATGTAGTATACATTGTAATCCCAAACTTGTCCCCTATAATGTCAGTGTTTCCATGCAGGCATAGTTTACTTAAAAAAAAAAAAAAACTAAACTAAACAGAGTACTGAATGACACCATCTTTTCTAATTTCCTTAACTGATGTGGATTTATATACAGGGAGTCATTGCTGTATCTTTCCTACTGTAAATTGAAGGGTAGGTGGCACCAAAAGAGCTTTATTTTTTATTTACTTGTGTTGCAACGTCATATAATGGAGTTCCTAATCCCCAACTCTTGAAAATCCCTAGTTTGAATACTGTGGATTTGCCTTGCTCAGCAATTGGAAAAGATTTAACAACCTACAACTAAATTTCAGCTGAGCAATGAAAAACAACGAAATGTGTGCCAAAGTACTCTATTCTATTGTATTCTGATTCACTAGTTTCATGTTGGGAATAGGATGGAAAGTTACTACATAATAGTATTGGGGTCTTAACTAAAATAAATAGGATAAACATCAAATAAAGCAATGTATATTAGGTTGCTTTTTGGTCCTTATTTTAAATATACTCTTCCACATAGAAAATATTAATAACTATTTATTTGAAGTATTTTTTTCTACTTGTGCTTATAACTTTTTTTAACATCTTGTTATATCCAGTTATATTGCACAAAAAGTACAGAGAGCATTAGCTTTGTTTAGAGGTTGTTAATTGCCACGTTGAAATACTAGTTAACAGACACATTACAAAGCTGGGTTGGTATTAACTTGAAGTACTTGCTGGGTTATCTCCAAATAGTAACTTTTGGGTGCTTAGTTACCATTCCTAATTTTGAGAGGTTGTTTATAAGTTTATAATTTTAACATTTGAATTATACATGTCCAAAGATATTTTAAAAATAGGATAAAGCATTTCTGGGAACTTAAAAGGTTACTAACTCTATCTTATACTTGGGGAAACAGGCACTTAGACGTATGATTTTCTTAATATCATATGGTTACAATTATTTCTGGATAAGCAGGTGCAAAATCAAGTGGAGTTTTGTTTTTGACTTTGTCTTGATGGGCATCAAAATTTGGAAATCTTGTCTCCCATACAGGTGTTAGATTTTAGTTGCAGTGATGAGGTACTTAACATTTATAGAGTTTATTTAATAAATCTATGTTGCAGATACTAGAATACAAAAATAAATAAGGTCTGGTTTTTGTGGCCTCAACTAACTGATAGTCCAATCAAGTAGACATGTAATATATTTACTATGATATATTTTAGGAAAATTGATAAAATACAGTAGGGACTAGTGGAGGAGGAATATAAAGAAGGAAGAATTATTATTATTGCTATTATTATTTTATTATTAGAGAATTTCATGTAGACTATTTTATTTAACCTTACCTGTTGAGCCAGGGGGATATTTTCCAAGGAAGTGGCAAGAGCTTGATCTTGGTCTTGACAGATAAATAGCTATTTGGAAGAAGAACAGCCGAGATAGTGAGGAAACTATAGACAAAACACTTAAATGTCCAAATATATGATGAAAGAAAATAACGTTAATATTTTGGAAGTAGCATGAACAGAAATTAAAGACTGATACTGGAATCAGAGGCTCTAATTTAACCCATCAAATTGATGGCAGTTTTATCAAGTGTGGTCCAAGGGAGTTGATGATGACTTTAAAGGAATACAGGAGTTAAAGTTATTAATTAGATTTTAGATATGTTGAATTTGAGGTACCTGTGATAATATATAAATTGAAATATTATTAGACAATGAGAAAAATAGAACTTGAATTTAAAAGAGAAGTGGATTCTGGAAGTATGAATTAGGGCATATTTATCATGTAGATGGGAAGTTGCAGCCATGAGCGTAGATGAGTTTTAGCTAAGAAGACCAAAGCCAAATTTGGAAGAAAGACAGAAGAAGAGGAATCAGTGAAGGAAGTTAGAAGAGGCAATCAAAGAAATAGGAAACAAACCAAAAGAACATAGCCAGGGCAACATAGTGAGACCCCATCTTTAAAAGAAATGTATTAACCGGGCCTGGTGGTTCATGCCTGTAATCCCAACTATTTGGAAGGCTAAGGCAGGAGGATCTCTTGAGCCCAGGAGCTTTAAGTTGAAGTGAGCTATGATTGTGCCACTGCAGTCCAGCCTGGGTGACAGAGTGAGATTCTGCCTCAAAAGAAAAGAAAAACAAAAAGAAATACAGAGTCAGTAAAGTTAAGGAAAGAAAATGTTTTAAAGAGAGAATGTTTAAGTGTGACAAATGCTATAAAAGGAGTCTGAGTATTGCATATTAAATGCTTTTTTGTGTTTGTATTTTCCACTTTAACTTGTAAAATAGGCACCTTAAAAAAGATGTGGTTATTTGTATATATGTAAAGCATCTTGATTGTTTTGTCCAAAAGATAAAAATGTATTTTTTCATCTTCTAGTATGGAACCTCAAGGTCTTTGTGACAATGGAAACCAAAAAATTAATTGGTAAACCGCTTCAACCAGCAAGACCTGTTCGTCATCTGACTTCTCCCCCAGGTGAGTAATAGATTATACAGTTCTTTAAATATTAATGTATTAATGACTAATTAGTATTTGAAAAGCTAAATAATATATAAAGCAATTGTTTCAGGTGGATATTTAAATAAATAATGAAAACTAAGAGTTTATAAGTATTACTGAAGGAAAAAGATTCTTAATTATCTACCAATCTGTAGTCTACCAGACCAACAAAGGTAGGAAGAATAACCCTTGACTGAAAGTAACTTTTTGTGTGTGTGGTTTTTTTCATGTCTCATTTTTGTAGGCTTCTGGCTTCTGGTCAGAGTGATACACCCAGTAAAAATTGTGCCCTGTGATTATGATCACTGCAGGGCAGTCATGCTGGAGAGATAGTTTAACCTTTTAAAAGAATAACGACATACTCAAATGCCAAAAAAATTAGCATAAATCTTAAAGGTTCTGTAGTAGTTGTGTCATACTTGTACTCTGATAGAGGTTATTGCTGTTTGAACTGGAACAGATCTAATTTCAAAAAATCTATTTTAAACATTCTAAAATGTTTTTCTTTTGCCCATGAAGATATTCTTTTGGACAAACTCCTGAAATACCTAGTATTTAACTTCTAAATTGGAATATTAGTCTTTTAATTGTATTCATTACTTATTGGTAGAATGGCTTCTGTGTCTACTTTAGGTGATACACATACAACTTTTTAAACTTTTTCTTAGTCTATGTATTCAGCTAAATTAACTTACTACTTAGAAATGGGAAAATACAGATATTTTATTGAGTTTACAGATGAAGCAAAAAAGGTAGAAGAGGCTCCAGTTTCGATCCTGTGTTCATTTTCCCGTCATTAGATCCTTCAAGGAAGATAATCTTCACTTTGGTCATGTTTGCTCTCAATATGCCTGTGACTTATGTCAGATAAGTGAAATTAATGAATCTTCTGGTACCATAGCTGAGTAATGCTGATTCTGTATACTTCTGATGCAGTGGAAGTGGTTGTGTAGGGTCAAGTCTCAAATTTTATCCTAAAGGAAAGAATGTAAAACCATTGCAGCAGCTCTTTTCTGTGACCAGACTTTTTCCAGCAACTCCCACCCCATTTCATCTCTGAAGATCCAATTTTTCACTGATTTCTCTCCAACACTGTTACATGAAAGAATGAGAATGAAAGGGGATACAAGGTGGGCAGGTAGCCCTGGTATCTTATTTGGTTGTACCTTCTTAAGATCCAAAGAAGAGAGTAGGGGATTATTAGGCAGAAAAGTCTAGTAAATCAGAAAATAATTTTGGTGTTTCTTAACACACTTACATACTCCCTGGCCATCTCAGATCCCTAAAGGAATCATTTACTTTTTCTTTTAGATTCCGATTTAATTACTTAATGTTGTGAAACCTTTGTGATACCCCAAACCCACTCCGCTTGGCGTAGTACTTTCTCTAAATCTCTCGATAAGCTTACTGCTTATCAAATTATATTATAATCATTATATATGAGCTTGTCTTTTAAAATAGACTGTGAACTCTTATCTCTGAACTCTTTTCATGTTTGTATGCCCATCCTTTTAACACAACATCAGATACTTCATAAGATTGGATGAATGTTGAATAAATGAACTATCGGAACACATTTCAAAATGGTGCCAAGAATATCCTGGATACTTAAGCTTTTTAGCTGATTATATTATTTATTGAAATAATAGATATATAAAATCGTTTTCTTCCTCTCCTAACAGGAGCAGTGTTCCCTTTCAACTTTCAAAATGAATATCCATGCAACACTCAGTGCATACAAAGTGGAGTTAGCAGAGTAAGTTTTAGAAATTATAACAAAAAGAAATATTATAGGTTGGAAAGTAACGTGTGTTAGATGGTTATTGTGTGCCAGATACTATGCTTTATATACTTTTTAAAAATTTATGTACATATGTTAAAAAGAATGTAACACCCATTTATCTGTCACCCAGCATTTTTAAGTCTAAACATTTTGCTATATTTGCTTTAAAAAAGTTTAAAGAAAGAAACTTAACATACAGTTATAAACCCTATATATATGCTTCTACCATCCTATTTCCTTCCCATCCTGCCCATAGATAACTATCCTCAGTTTATTTTTTCCATGAATGTGTTTGTACTTTTGCTATGACAAATAGAATTGTTTTATTTGTTTTACATAAATAGGATTTTGTCATCTTTGCTTTAACATTTTATTACAAATTTTAATTTTTTGACTAAGTAAATTAGTCACAAAGTTTACAATTCAAAATATACAAAATGACATTTATTGAAAAGTTTCCCTCCAATCTCTGTCCCGGTCTCTTATTTCCTCTGATCAGAAGTAAGCATTGCACCAGTTTCTTATCCAGATGCATTGTACCAGTTCCTTACCTAGATACTAATTCTTTCTCTCTCTGTCTTTTTTGTTTTGTTTTGTTTTGTTTTTGAGACAGAGTTTCTTTCTTGTTGCCCAGGCTGGAGTGCAATGGCACGATCTCAACTTACTGCAACCTCCGCCTCCAGGGTTCAAGCGATTCTCCTGCCTCAGCCTCCTGAGTAGCTGGGATTATAGGCACCCGCCACGACGCCCAGCTAATTTTTTTTTTTTTTTTTTGTATTTTTAGTACAGGTGGAGTTTCACCATATTGGCCAGGCTGGTCTTGAACTTCCAGCCTCAGGTGATCTGCCTGCCTTGGCCTCCCAAAGTGTTGGGATTACAGGCTTGAGCCACTGTGCCCGGCCTCTCGATACTATTTCTTATCCACAAGTAGACTATGCATGCACAACCATAAGTATATTTGTAAATGGAATACTAGGCAACTTTACAATGAATAAAGCAGTTAAATATGAACTGATATAGAATAATCTTTTAATATATGGGACTATACAACAATTTTTTCCATTTTCTGTTGATGGGCACTTGTTTCTATATTATAATAAATGCTATTGTGACTGCCATCTATATATTTCATTTTTATATGTTTGAGAAGTTTTCTGTGGCATAAAATTAGAGTAGAATTACTAAGTGTTCTTAATTTCAACTTTTAGATGCTGCCAAATTACTCTTCAAAGCAATTTGTATGAACAGGGGCTCTGATTTTTCTACGTCCTCACCTTACTATTGTCAGACTTGAACATTGGGTGAGACAGTAGATGAGAAATTATATATTTTGGTTGGTTTTAATTTTTAATTCTCTATTACTTGTGAAGTAGAGCATCTTTTCATATGTTTAGTTTGACCATTTGGATTTCTTCTTTTGTGAATTGCCAATTCATATTATTATCCCATTTTTCCTGGATTTTCTTCTTTTTGATTTATATACCTTTAAAATATGTTCTGGATTCTAATTATTTTTCTTATATGCATAAAAATATTTTCTTTTCCAGGAATATGGTCTGTTAGAGAGTCATTTTTTGTGTGGCATTTTTTGTTTAAAAGTTTTAAATATTAATATAATGATATTATCAATGTTTTTCTTTGGGATTTCACTTTTAAGAAGCCTTCCCATTTCCAAAATGAAAAGATATTTTCCTATATATTCTTCCAAAAGCTTTGAAGTTTTGCTTTCATATTTAGGTGTGTAGTCTACCTAAAGGTGATTTTTTGGATGGTGTAAGATAGAAATCTAGATTTTCTCCTATAAGCTACTGATTGTAAAGCATAATTTATTGAATAATTTATCCTATAAATCAGTGGAATCTTAATTATATAATAATTTTTCATATACACATATCTTTTCTGGGCTCTTTGTTCTAGTGATCATATTTTATCACTGTATAATCAATATCATGATGTCTTAATTATTTTGGCTTTATTATGAGTTTTCTATAAGTCATAGAAATGTTTTATTTGTTCTAGCAGCTAACATTTCCCTAATTAAATACAACAATAATATTCATTACTTTTTGGAACCATTGACCTTCTTTTACTTTATATGTAAAAAATTAATATGTTAACATTGCAGTTTTATAGAGAAAAATCAAATTATACAGTTAAATTACTTCTAAATGTACAATTGTGTCTGCTGCTTCAATTATAATGCAAATGCTAGTAGAACCTATGTTAGAGATACTTGATATATTTTCAAACCACCTTTATTGAGGTATAGTTTGCATATAGTAAAGTGAACTCATTTGTTCAATGAGTTTTGAGAAATATTTATCCCATGTAATGAACCCCACAATGAAAATCTTCCATCTTCCTCCAAAATGTCCTTATATCCCCTTGCAGTAATTTACCACTTACCCTTAACACTAACCCCTTGCCCTCCTTCCTGCCCCATACATCCACTGATCTGCTTCTTTTAATGATAGATAAGTTAGTTTTTACTGTCCTAGAGTTTCATATAAATGAAAAATATAATGTGTATTCCTTGGTGCTGGGGTTCTTTTGCTCAGCATTCTGTTTATGAGATCCTTTCATGCTGTATATATCAGTAGTTTTTTTTTTTAATGTGGAATAATATCCTACTGTAAATATACAACAATTTGTTTATTAATCAGTTGATGAACATTGGATTGTATCTAATTTTTGGATATTATGAGTAATGCTACTATAGACTATCATGTACAAATCTTTGTGTGGAAATACACATACTACCCAGGAGTGGAATTGATAGATCATATAGTAAGTTTGTTTAGCTTTATATCATAAAATGTTTTCCAAAGTGGTTGTGCCATTTTACCTTCTCATCAGTAATATGAGGGAGCTCCAGATGCTTCACAGCCTTGCCAACATTAGTATGGTCGATCTTTTTATTTTTAGCCATTTTAGTGTGTTAGTAGTGGTATCTCATTGTATTTAACATTTTCTTAATGTTTAGTGAGATTGAGATTCTTATCATGAACTTCTCTGACATCTGTGTTTTTCTTTTCCTGTTTCTTTCTTTAAATTTTAATTTTTTGGTAGAGTGCCTATTCATGTCTTTTTGCTTATTTCTGTTATTTGAGTTGTCTTTTTATTATTGAACTGCAAAAGTTCCTTGAAAAACCAGTATATCACACATGCATTGATTTATTTCAAAACTCTGTTATGTTCTGTTGATTTATGTCTACCTTTATGTCAATATTACACTTTATAGTCTACTGTAGCTTTATGATAAGTCTTGAAACCAGGTTATGAAAGGTCACTAACTTTGTTTCTAAAATTTATCTTTACAATTCTAGGTCTTTTGTATTTGCATATAAATTTTAAGTGAGTTTGTCATTTTCTACAAAAAAGTCTATTGGCATTTTGATTGAATTTATAGATTAATATGGGAAGAATTGACATCTTATGATCTGTTAACTTGACATATCCCTTGATTCTTTGTATTTTCCAGCATAGAGCTTTTGAACATCATTTATACAATTTATAAGTGTTTCAGATATTTTGATAGTATTGTAAATGGTATTTTTTTGTAAATTTTAAATTTTACTGGTTGGTTGCTAGGGTTTAGAAATATAATTGATTTTGTATAGTGATTTTGTTAAACTCAGTTATTAGATGTAGTAACTTTTTATGGAGACCACCCTTCCGTTCTTGTGCTTATTATGATGATAATTTTACTTTTGTTTGGACTGTAAACACACAATCATTACTAATGTTTTTTTCTTTCTGTGTTATCTTTTAACTTTAAAAACTGGAATAATTTTATTTTACTTTCATTTATTGACTTTCCAGAACTTTTTATTTCTTTGTGTAAATCCATGGCTCTATCTGGTATTATCTTCCTTTATGAACAACTTTCTTTAACCTGTTTTTCATTATTTCTTTATAACAAAGTATTTGAAAATTTTGGCTTAAAACAACAGCTTATTGTTTTCTTTCATGGTCTCCTGGGATGACTGAACTCAGCTGGCCATATATCACTTTAGTATAGTCATGTAGTTGAAGTCAGATAGCATCTAAGACAGCTAAAGGCTTGACTGGACTGGATGATGAAAATGACTCACTCACATGGCTGTCAGTTAATACTGGCCATTGGCTTGGAGCTCAGCTGGTACTATGAACTGGAATGAGCAACTACAAATGGCCTTTCCAAGTGGCTTGGGCTTCTTATAACACTACATGTGGGTTCTAAGACTAATGTTCAAAGGGACAGGAGATAGAAGTTGCCAGCCTCTTAATATCTGGGATTGGAAACTAGCACTGTATCACTTCTGAAATGTATATTGGTAGGAGCAGTCATAGATCTTGCCAAGATTTAAGTGAAGGAGATACAGAATTTACCTCTTGATGAGAAGAGTATCAAGAATTTGTGGCTAACTTTGATCTGTTTCAGAGTCATTTGGATTTCCTCTCCTCTGTGTTACTGTTTCTTGTCCTTTGCCCATTCTCTTCTATAGGCTTTTTTATTTTTTTTAAATTGTTTCCTGGGAGCTCTTTTAGGTGAAACTATTTAAGATACGAATTGTAATTTTTTTCCTGTTTACCTTTTGTCTTTTGATGTTGCCTAGAAATCTCGCACTTTAACTTTTCATTCCAGGAATAGAGAGTGATATGCATTTGTCTCTTCTTATTCTCTTTCCTGATCTCAGTGGTATACATTTGTTTAAGATGAGTGACAGAGGCTGGGAACTTTCTTGCTATAGAATATAAAAGGGCCAGGTGGGGTGCTTACACTTGTAGTCCTAGCACTTTGGAAGGCTGAGGTGGAAGGATCACTTGAGCCCAGGAGTTTGAGACCAGCCTGGGCAATGTAGCAAGATCTTGTCTCTACAAAAACTTTTGAAAAGTAGCTGGGTATGGTGGTATATGCCTGTAGTCCTAGCTCCTCAGGAGGCTGAATTGGGAGGCTGACTTGAGCTCAGGAGTTCAAGGTTACAGTGACCTATGATCGTGGCACTGTACTCCAGCCTGGGTGACAGAGTGAGACACTGTCTCAAAAAAATACAAAAAGTCTAAATAGAACTTCTGAGCATGCATATTGGGGAATTGTACCATTACAAAGAGCACTTGATTTGAATAAAATTGTAAGAAACTTGATGCTTATCCTGCTTTACTCCTCTGTTTAACCTTTTCCATTTCCTGAACTAGCCGTATTTTCCTATGCTCTTCAGTACAAGGCTATTATTTTATTCCATAAACATTAATTTTTCATTAGTTTGCCAGTCTAACTCCTACTGATCCTTCAAGAGTCAATATAAGCATCATCTCCTATGTAAAGCCTTTCCTGGCATTTCTAAGCCAAGTTTGATACCCTGACTCAGTTCTTTTATTGTACTTTCTGCATATCTTTATTACAGAGCTTCTCAGATTTTATTATGATTTGCTTTTTTATTTTTCTGCCTTTTAGTTTGTGAGTCTCTGAGAACAGATACTGGAATGTCATGTTCATCTTTGTATTTCCTGACACAAAGCACAGTGCTTGTCATGTCATAGGCACTCTGTGTTTGTTAAATGGATGAGTTTAACAGGTCCACTACTACCCATTTGGCAACTTTGCAAGAATTAGAAGAGGAATGAAAAATTATAGAAAATACACGTGGTTTTTTTTGTTTGTTTGTTTGTTTTTGTTTTTTTGAGTAAGATACTTTGCTGCTATCTGCTAGAAAATATACAACATTTATGTGGTGAATGATAACCCTTTAGATGCATACCCTTCACAAATTTACATAGTAGCCTTGAGTTTCAAAACCTAGCTCAGCTGTTTCTTATCTGTGTACTTTTGGCTTGGTCACCAAACTTTTCTGGTCTGATTTTCCTTACCTATAACATAGTGATCATAACACTTGACTTATTCCTTATAGGATTATAATTAAATGAGATAACATATAGATAATCACTGTATAAAACTTTTTGTAGGTGTACTTTTTACATGCTATTATTTGAAATAATCAGTATTTTAAGTTTTTAATATGTACAGACATGACAAAGTACAATTTTACCTTCAAGTCTGATTTTAGATCTTGCATTTAAGTAGATGTTACACACTTAGTGAAATGTGCATCTGCTAAAATTTCCAGAGGTAAGAAATAGTCTTTTTTTTAATTTTTAGAATACCATTTTATAGTTAATTAAATACAACAGTCTAGAAGAACTTTGGAGAACCCAAATCTTAGGCATTTTCCATTTTTTCTATCTCTAGTTAAAAAGCTCTACTAAAACTTGATTTTTTTTTCTGATGACATTCTTGTTTCAATAGTGTGGAATTATCTCCATAGACTTTATTGTGTCAGCATTAGATAATTAGTCCTACTGCCTTTAAGGGGAGTAGTTAGCATTCACAGAAATTTAAGGAATGGCTTACAACTTGTCAATACAATGATTGATGGAGCACAGATATTTATTTTTAAGGATAGATGTTTCCAAAGAAACCTACTTTCATTGAGATTTACCTTAATTCAGGGATGGTTTGCAAACTGATTTTTGTCAGCACAAGAGGAGATAATCTCTCAGGGGTAGATAGTATTAACCAAGTTTGTAAAACTGATTTATAAAATCAGAACACCAATTATTTTATAATGAGAAATCTTTATGTCTTATGTTCTGGGTTCCTCTTATTGGTACAACTGGTATATTGTTTACTTCTAGGGAGATTTATGGAAAGCTAAATTGAATCTGAGTATGTCCTGGTGAGTATGGGATCAGAAGAAAAGGATTTAGGTAAAAATGAATTTTTAAAATATCATCAAGATTAGCTTAGCCAATCTTATAAAAAAGATGGTCTTGCAAGTGAGACTGGAAAAACTCTGCACTAAGGCGTCTCTCTTCAAGACATAGAACTCTGCCAGTGTTTCTGATTTTCTTTGTCTCATTGGATAACATCAATTTTTCTTATTTCTCTTATTTCCAAGGCATTAGGTGAAATAGTCCATAGGCTTATAAAGCGACATCAGTCTTTACTTCAGAGATTTAAAAAGTAAATAGTATTCTTGCAGAATTTTTGTGAATAAAAATGTTTTGTTTTCATCTATTAAATTTTTTTTCCAAATGGCATTTTTGTCAAGAAAAAAGTACTTTTAATGACTATGGAATTATTTATCTTTAGGACAATAAAATTCATCTTTAGTTTTATATTCCTTTTCAATAATAATTTTAATAATGCCAAAAAACTGTAGATATATGTGAATATATTTTGAAAGATGTTTTTGTTGCTCATTTTAAATAAGCAGACTTATAATGATTGCTTATTACTTAGCTCCTACTAAATGCGTATATTATTAGGAAAATATTTTTGGGTAGTTAAACTAATTATATAAAATTTTAAAACATGAGTTAAAAAGTTCATTTTCTTCATGTTTAACAGTGTAAGACGAATGGAATGCAAGCCTTTTCTCAAGGTCTTAATGAACAACAGCAACATCAGTCTCCAGTTAAAAAAGGTAAAATTTTATCATAATTCCCAATTTTATCATTGAATGTCTTAGCATTCATATACAGTTAATATTACTGTATCGCTTAGATGCAAACCTATATTATATGAAATTTTATTATATATTTTTAGATTGATTTCTATCTATATGAGTCAGGCTACCAGTTTGACTGCTTTCAAGGAGAGACCAGAATACAATGGCTTAAACAAGATAGGAGTTTATTACTAGATTTTCTGTATCATGTAAAATTCTGAACTGTTGTAATGATTTTGCCCTGTGAAGTTTCTATTTTCCCACTGTTCTCTTATCTTATTACTATGCCATCAACACATGGCTTCCATCTCATGGTCCCAAGATAACTGCCTCTGTTCCTGCCATGATGTTCCTGTGTAGCCATTAGGAAGGAGGAAAGGGGGAAGGAAGTTTGCCTTAAGATTATGACCCAGAAGTTGCACATAGTACTTCCACTTTCATCACATTGCCAGAACTTGGTCATACTGTGCCTATTGGCAGGGTAGACTGGGAAACATAGTCTTTAGCAATACAGTTATTACTGAATTGCTATTCAGTAATAACTATTTAATTACTGAAACAAAAATTCTATTACTGAAACAAAAAGAAAGAACTGCTCTAGGGGAGAACCAATAGTCTCTCCCACACTACCTATTTTAAAAATAAAATAAAATGATTTAATTTAGTTTCCAAATTTTTGTCAATTAATGTATGTAGTTTAAAAGTTTGAAGTATGAAGAGACGATTAATTTTTTCTTCTAATATTTATCCACATATTTCTAAATATAAGTATTTCTAAATTTCTCAATTTTTGAAAACTTTATATTGATGTTTTATCTTGGTAAATGAGAACTTAAGTCTCTCACATCAGTTCCTTCAGTTCTTCACCCTTTCATCTCCCCCACCACATAGTTATTTAACAAGTTTCAATTAAAATGTTACTCACTCTTTATACTACTGTGACTGTGTAAAATATAACTGCTTAGCCAAGAGGTGCATATCTCCCTTTTTATACAATTTATCATTTTTTCTAAAGTGAATGTTTCCCTTATGTTTCTGTGTTATCTATTGTTAACTCTTTTCTTAAAATGCTCCAACAACTCTGCCACACTTGTGTATACTATTTATGCTCAAGTATATCAGTTCTTTTTTTTCTTAGATGGGACATTCCTTTCAGAATACTCCATAATCCTATTCCAATATGGACTAGTTGTTCTTTAGTACTGCTGTACAGCTATTTTTCTGGAGTGGACCTTTGCTATTATCTTGGGATATCCCTTTATAATCCTTTGGTTTCTTTTTTTAAAAATTGAAGTGGAGTTCACCCAGTCACCATTTTAACCATTTTAAAATATACAATTAAATGGCTTTTAGTACATTCACAATGTTGTACAGCACTACTAATTCCAGGACATTTTTATCACCCTAGAGAGAAACCTCTTACTCATTAAGGTGTTACTACTTTCTCTTCTCTCTACTTAGGCCGTGTGGTAGACACTAATCTATTTCTGTCTCTTTGGATTTAGCTATCTGGCCATATCATATAAATGGAATCACACAATATGTCACTTTTTTCAATTTATTTTTTAAATTGATATATAATAGCTGTACATATTTTATATCAATTAAAATAATTGAGGGTACATGTGATATTTTGATTACTATGTACAATGTGTAATGATCAAATAAGAGTGATTGAGATATCCATCACATTTACCTTTCTCTTGTGAACAATATGTGACCTTTTGTGTCTGGCTTCTATCACTTTCCATAAGATTTTCAAGGTTCATCATGTTTTAGCACTATTAATACTTTATTTTTTATGACTAAATAATATTCCATTGTGTGGATTATACCACATTTTGTTTATCCATTTCTCAACTGATACACATTTGAGTTGTTTTCACTCTTTGGCTATTGTGAATAATATTGCTGTGGACATTTGCATACAAGTTTTTGTTTCACCTTTGTTTTCATTTCTCTCAGGCATATACCTAGGAGCCGACTTGCTGGATCATTGGTAGTTCTGTGTTTTAACATTTTAAGGAACTGCCAAATTGTTTTTCACAGCGGTTCTACCATTTTACATTCTTAGTTGCAAGGTACTAGGGTTTCCAATCTCTCAATATTCTTGGTATTATTATATCTTTTTATTATAAGCAATCCTAGTGGGTGACAAGTGGTATCTCATTATGGTTTTGATTTGCATTTTCTTATGATTATGATACTGTTTTTTCGTGTGCTTGTTGGCTATTTCTATTTGTTTTTTGGATACATCCTTTATTCAAGTTGTTTAACAATATTTTAACTGGGTTGTTTGTTATTGAGTTGTTTTGTTATTGAGTTACAAGACTTCGGGATATTAGACTCTTATCTATTATCTGTTATTCTCCTTCCTGCTACTGTTCTCTTTCCACTGTGTGCATATATATATATATATATGTTGTCTTTTCATTCTCTACTGGAGCTTGTGTTATTCTCTTGATAGTGTGTTTTAATGCACAATTTTTTTTAGCTTTGATGAATTTTAACTGTTTTTCCTTTTGTTGCTCATGTTTTTGTTGTCAGATCTAAGAAGTCGTTGCCAAATCTAAGGTCATTAAGATTTACCCCTGTTTCATTCTAAGAGTTTTATAGTTTTAGCTCTTGCATTTAGGTCTTTGATCTATTTTGAGTTAATTTTTACATATGATGGGAAATAAAAGTCCAGCTTCATTGTTTGTCATGTGTGTCTCCACTTGTCCCATCATAATTTGTAAAACAGGCTATTCTTTTTTCATTGAATGGTCTTGGCACCTTCGTTGAAAATCAGTTGACCATAGGTGTATGTGTTTAATGTGTTTATTCCTGGACTCTTAATTCTGTTCTCCTGTTTTATATGCCTGTCCTTACGTCAGTATCACACTTTTTTTTATTACTATAGCTTTGTAGTAACTATTAAAATTGGGAAGTGTTAAGTCTTCCAACTTTGTTCTTTTTCCAAATTGTTTTGGCTATTTAGGGGTCTTTGCAGTTCCATTTGATATTTTAAGATCAATGTTTCCATGTCTGCAAAAGAGGCCATTAGAAATTTGATAGGGATAGCATTGAATCTATAGATCACTTCGAGAGGAATATTGCCAACTTAACAATATTAAATCTCACAATCCATAAACATAAGAAATCTTCCCATTTAGGTATTCTTTAAGTTATTTTAGCAATATTTTCCAGTTTTTGGTGTACAAGTCATATACCTCCTTGGTTAAATTTATTCCTAAGTACTGTATTCTTTTTGATGTTATTGTAAATGGAATCTTTTTGTTATTCATTGATCATATATAAAATAAATTTATTTCATGGGGAACATTACTATGAATTTATGAAAATGAAAAATATTATGAGACTATTATGAACAGTTAGTTGTATGCCAAAACCTAGATAACCTAGATAAAATACAAGTTATTAGGAACACAGAATTTACCAAAACTAACTCAAAAAGAAATAGAAAATCTGAGCAAACCTGTAGCAAGTAAGAAGATTGTATCAGTAATTAAAAACCTCGCAACAAAGAAAAGTTCGGGACTAGATGGCTTCTCACCAGTAAATTCTACTAAACATTTAAAGAACAGTTAACACTAATCCTCAAACTATTCCCCCAAAATATGAAGAGGGGTAACACTTCCAGTGAGGCCAGTATTATTCTGACACCCAAAGCCAAAGACATCAGAAGAAAAGAAAACTATAGCCAATATCCCTTCAAATATAGATACAAAAATCCTCAATAAAATACTAACAACTTTTTACTATAAACATAGCAAAAAGATTATATACCATGTCCAAGTGGGATTAATCTCAATAATGCAAGGGTGAGTCAACATATCAAAATCAGTAATACCATGTCCAAGTGGGATTAATCTCAATAATGCAAGGGTGAGTCAACATATCAAAATCAGTAATAATACACCACATTAACAAGATTCAGGGGAAAGCACATGATCATCTCAATTGAAGAAAAAGCATTTGACAAAACACACTATCAAGAACAAGATAAGGGTGTCCACTTTCACTGTTTTTATTCAATGTTATGTTGAAAGTTCTAGCTATAGCAATTAGGCAAGAAAAAGAAATAAATGGTATTTAAATTGGGAAAGATGAAGTAAAAGCATCTCTATTCACAGAGAACACAGTCCTACCCAGATGATCACCAATTAGGATGGTTTGACCTATAATTTTTTGATTTTACAATAGTTCAAAAACAATATCTGTTCAGTAGAAACTGTACTTTTCTCATGATGCTGGGCAGCATCAGCAAGGTGCCACTCCTAGTTAGCCATGCATTTTCATCTTTTGCTATTTTTAACTTAAAATGGGTTTATTAGGATATAACTCCATTGTAAGTTGAGAAGCATCTGTATATATAGAAGATCCTAGGGAATTCACATAAACTATTAGAGCTAATACAAATAAATTAAAGTTGCAGGATGCAAGACCACTGTTGTTTATGATTTTAGTAATTTGAGTCATTTTTTCCTAATCAGTCTTGGTAAAGGTTTGTTAGTTTTTGTCTTTTCAAATAACCAACTTTTGGTTTTGCTGATTTTCTCTGTTGTTTTTTATATTCTCTATTTCATTTATCTTCACTCTGATCTTTATTATTTAGTTCATTTTTTCTAGTATTTGATTTAGTTTGCTCTTTTCTCCTAGTTCCTTAGTGTGTAATGTTAGATACTGAGTTATTTCTTCTTTTTTAATAAGACGTTTATAGCTATAAACTATGCTCTGAACACTGTTTTTGCTTCATCTCATAAATTTTGATATGTTGTGACTTTGTTTCATTTGTCACATATTTTCTAAGTCCCCTGTTGTTTATTCTTTGATGCATTGGTTGTATAAGAGTGTGTTTTAATTTACACATAGTGGTGAATTTTCCAGTTTACTTCTGGTTTTGATTTCTAGTTTTATTTCAGTGTTGTCATAGGGCATACTTTGTATGATTTGAATCTTTTTAAATTTATTGAGACTGTTTTGTGGGCTAACATATGAGTTCATCCCGGAGAATGTTCCATGTGTGTGGAACATGCGTGCTCTGGTTCCATGTGTGCTTCAGAAGAATGTATATTCTGCTGTTGTTGGGTACAGTGTTGTATATATGTAATTAGGTTAGTTGGATTGTAGTGTTCACGTTCTGTTTCCTTGTTGATCTTCTGTTAAGTTTTCCTATCCAATATTGAGCATGGAATATTGTAGTCTCCAGTTACTAATGTTAAAATGTCCATTTCTATGCTTAATTTTGTGTTTTTCTTTCTGTTGTTGGGTATACATGTGCTTATAATTGTTATATCTTCTTGATTAATTGATGCTTTTATCATTGTATAAATGTCCATTGTCTCTTATAACAATTTTTGTCTTAATGTCTATTTTTGTCTAATATTAGTATACTCCCTTCAGCTGTCTTTTGGTTACTGCTTGAATTGAATATCTTTTACAGTCTTTCAGTTTCAACTTATTTTTGTCATTGGATCCAAAATGAGTCTCTTTTGGACAGAATATAATGAGATGATTTTTAAAAATTCATTCTACCAATCTCTGCCTTTTATAATAATTGAAAAAGTTAGTGCATTTACATTTAATGGAATTAACTGATTTAAAAAGGACTCAATCCTCCCATTTTGCTATTTGTCTTCTGTATGTCTTTTTTTGTTACTTGATTCCTCCATTACTGTTTTTTGTGTTTAATAGATATTTTCTAGTGTACTATTTTTATTTCCTTTTAGTTTACTATATTTTTTATGTTTCTAATTGCTGTGTTGGGTATTAATTTAATATATAACAAACTAGTTTGAATTAATATCAACTTACTTCCAATGTTATATGAAACATTCCTCCTATATAGATCTCTAAAGTCACCTTTATGTTGTTATTGTCATAAATTACATCTTTATACACATTCTGTCATCTATTGACCTAGATTTATAATTATGCATTTTTATGCACTTGTCTTTTAAATCATATAGGAGAAAAGGATGAATTTCATACTGAAAATTTATTGATACTTTTATATTTGCCTGTGTAGTTACATTTACTGGTGTTCTTTATTTCCTCGTGTGGATTTTAGTCGCGTACTATCCTTTAAGTCTGAAAGATTCCCTTTAGCATTTCTTGTAAGACAGGTTTACAAGCAGTAAACTCTGTCAGTATTTGGTTATCTGTGAATGTCTCCATTTCTGCTTCATTTTTGAAGGAGCTTTTGTCAGGTATAGATTTTTTGATTGACACGTTTTTTGATTTCAGCACTTTAAATATGTCATCCCATGACTTCTGACATCCATAGTTTCTGATGAGAAATCAGCTGTTTATCTGATAGAGAATCCCTTGTAAAGTGATGAATTGCTACTGTCTTTCTGACCTCAAGATTTTCATTGACTTTAACAGATTGATTACGATGTATCTATGTGTGAAGAATCTCTTTTAGTATACAGATAGATGCTCCTTAACTTATGGTGGGATTACTTCCCAATAAACCCATCATAAGTTGAAAATATAATAAGTTGGTATGAGAGTCTTTGGCCCAGAGAGTCTTTGGTCAGAGAATCACCAGTGCTTAAAGTCTGAAACCTTGAATTGCTTTCACATCATCATAAAGTCAAACAATTGTAAGTCAAACCATCAGAAGTTGGGGGTTGTCTGCATTCTATTTGTAGTTTGTTGAACTTCTTAGATGTATAGATTCTTTTTTTGTTGTTAAATTTTGGAAATGTTATTCCACGATTTCTTCAAATGCCATTTCTTCTCCTTTTTCTCTCTCTCCTCCTGGCACTCCCATTATATATTTGTTGGTATGCTTGATGGTAACCCATAAGTGTCTTAGACTCTGTTCATTTTCTTTATTATTTTTTCTTTCTGCTCCTCAGACTGAATAATGTCAATTGAATTACTTTTAAATTTGCTGATTCTTTCTTCTGCCTGCTCAAATCTGCTGTTGAAACCCTCTTGTGAATTTTTCACTTCTGTTATTGTACTTCTCAATAATTTCTATCTGGCTTCTTATAAGTTCCATCTCTTTATAGATATTCTCTATTTAATGAGACACTCCTCTCATAATTTTCTTTAGCTCTTTGAGCATATTTAAAATAGTTTATTGAAAGTCTTTCTCAAGTAAATTCAATGTCTTGGCTTCCTTGGTGAAAATTTCTATTTCTTTTTTTCCAATGAATGAGCCCATACTTTCTTCATTCATTGCGTGCTTTATAATTTTTGTTGTGGTGGTTGAGAACTGGACATTTTGAATGTTATAATGTGGCTGCTCTGGAAATCAGATTTTCTTTCTTCCCTTGGGTTTGTTGTTGCTCTTTGTTGTAGTAGTTGTTGTTAGCTTAGTGACTTTTCCAAACTAATACTGTAAAATCTATATTCTTTGTCATGAATGACCATGGAAGTCTCTATTATGTTATCTTAGTGGTCAGCTGGTGATTTGACATAATTTCCTTCAATGGCTAGAACCATACCAAACTGAAAAACAAAGAAGCCCCTCTTTCAGCCTTTGCATAAGGCCTCTATGTATTTTGATGTATTGCCTTAATTCTGCCTTCACCTTCATTTCCTGCTTGGTAGGAATCTGAAAGTCAGCCAGGAGTGAGTGCTTAGGATCTTCTCAAGTTTTTCTGTGAACATGAGCCTAGCTTTGACATGCATGTGGGCTTCTATAAAGAATATTTGGGATTCTTTCAGTGCCCTTCTTCCTCAAAGCATCTTGTTTTTTCAGTTTTTCCTCCCAAGCTTTTTGGTATGCCTAATGTTTGCTCCAATTGTTATCCCTTGTCTCAGGTGGAAGCAACTAATACATTTTCCTCTAAATGTTTGGACAAATGGATTTTGGGCAGCAGCTTTAATGCTAGGAGAATTCTTAGTTAGGTGTGAAGTACAGGCAAGCTTCTCAGAATGGTTCCTCAGGGAACCACCAGAAAGGTCAAAACAAATAATCATAATTTTTTGAGAATGAAGTCTGTACTACTCCCTCCAGTTCTGGGAACCTGTAAGTAATGAGGGCTGTTGTTTTCAAGGCCATGGCCTATCTGGGGGATGGTCCCAGGTAAGTTAAATGCCACAATTTTTTTCCCAAATTTAGCTATTTTTTTGTTCACTAAGCATTCCCCTGGTTTTTACAGGCTCTGGGTTAGAGTCCGGGGTTCTGAGAAAGTTGATTCTGACAGTTTTTATGAGCATACTTGTTTTTGTGGAGGAAAGACTTTTAGAGTTCTCTACTTGGCTGTTTTACCTGACATCACTTACCTCCATTTCTTGAGTTTTATGTTTTCTTCTTTATTGATTTATGTCCTTATTTTGCTCAAGTACATTCTCCAGGAGTTTCATGAAAAAAGGGTATTGGGTTGGTGAATTCTTTGAGTTTGTGTATTTGAAAATATCTTTATTCTGTTCTCACACTTGATTGATGGTTTGGCTACATAGAATGTTCCAGATTAAGGATGAACCTAAAAAATGTTACATGAAAGAAGCCAGACCCAAAATTTCTGATAAGTTAAATTTTCCTTGATGTATTTCAGAACTGTGTATTAGGAACAACACATTGATAATTGTTACCTGTTAGTTGATAGGAAGATAGGATAGTAATTCAACCCTTCTTTTTCCTAGTCTTTGCATTTTTTATATCCATTTACTTTCAACTTACATGCCTTTATATTTAATATGTGTCTCTTGTAGACAACATATACTAGGGTCTTCTTATTTTTTAAATCCACTCTGTCAATTTGTAGTCTTTAATGTAATGTTTAGGGGGTCAGTAAACTATGGCTTACAGACCAATTCCTGTTTTTATAAATAAAAATGTATTGAAACATAGGCACATCCTTCATCTATATATTATCTGTGGCTGCTTTTGCTTTAACAGTAATACATATTTCTTAAAACAAAACTTAGAGAAAAAAAGGAATCTGTTATACTTACCCACCTATTTATCATCTCTTTTGCTCTTTATTTCTCAACAGTAAAGTTTCCATCTAGTATAATTCCCTTTAGCCTGTAGAACTTCCTTTAGTATTTCCTGAAGATCAATTCTGCTGGTGATGAATTCTTTCAATTTTACTTTATCTGAAAATGTCTTTCCTTCACATGCATTTCTGAGCGGTTTTTTCCCCCCACTGGACATGAAATTCTTGGTTACTGTTCTTTTCTTTTAGAACCTTAAACATATTATTCCATTCCTTCTGGGACAGCATATAATCTGTCTTGGTGATCGTTTCTGGTAATCATTTCTGATTTGAAATCTGCAGATATTTGAAACATTGTTCTCCTTGAAGATAAGGGCCCTATCTTGGGTCCTATTCATTATTACCTAGCACAGTTCCTGATACATAGTAAGATGTACAATAAATGTTTCTTGAATTGAATTTATTTTTATTGTGTTAAGTTTTTAGTATTGATTGAGACTTGATAGGCTCATTAAAGTAACATTTTGGCAGGATCTGAATTGCCTAATAGTTTTTACTGTGGTTATACTTTATAGAAGATCATTTTACTAGACCTGAATAACCAGATGAAAAAAGCCATGCATTCCCCATTTTCCTAATTATATTTCTTTCATTTTTCCTTGGTTACTTGGTTTTCTTTCTATGTAAAAGGAGAATTGGAGGAAGTAGATGCTTTTCAAAGCCTTTTTCTCCTCCTCTTTTGCATAGACACACTACTCATCATTTTATAAAATAATAGAGGACATCCAGAAAAAAATAAACCAAAAAGTGATCTAGACAGCTCTACATTTCATAACATTACATTTGATGTTTAATATCTACAGAGAGAATTAAATACAGCAGAGATTTCCTGTTGAAGCTCTCAAGTGTTTCCATCTGCAGAAAAAAACCAGACTTTCTGCCTGATCATCCCATTGTACTGCAAAAACCAGTAAGTAGTTTTCTAAGTTTATATTGTAATATTATATTAAAAATATTTTTCTTTAACATTTTCATCAGACTCTACCTCTAGATTTTTAACCTTCCTTATTATAAGATACAGGTAATTCAGAAAACTACAAAAATCTAAAGGTATAATAAACCAATTATTATAAAGTAACTGTCTAAAAATTAGAATGGAATAGCTGTATTTTGTTTAAGAAATATTTTTAATTGGAAGGTCATGAAAATATTATCCAATACTCTAAAAGTTTTATTTTTTCAATTAAATTATATTTGCCACCTGGAATTAATTTTACTCTATGATGTGAGGTGGGCATCAAGTTTTACCTTTTTCTACATGGATATCCAGTCATTTTAAAAATATTTATTGAAATGGTACTTCTCTGACATCTTTGTGGCAATATATGCGTGGTCTGTTAATGGGCTATCCATTCTGTTCAATTAGTCTTTTTATACATTATAACAAATCATCTCATGTATTTTTCTTTAACATGTCTTTGCTGTTCTTAGCCCTTTATATTTCTGTTACCTTATCAAATTCCATCTAAATAAATACACATAATGAATACATACATGCATCTCTTAGGATATGCATGGAAAGGACATGGATTTTATCATCAGACATGGCTTAAAATTGTAGCTCCATTCTGTGTACTGGCAGTTCAAACTTGGACAAGTCACTTAACGTCATTGAACCTTAGTTTTGCAGTTGCTGATAAGGATGATAATCTCTGACTGTTAGGATTAATAAAATAATGCATGAGATTACTGAGTATGATACTTTTCTCTCATTTGCTCTTAGTAAATGATTCCCATTCTTTATGGTCTCTACTTACATTTGACTGGAATTTAACTTTCTATTAGAGTTTTTGTAAATACCTTTATATAGGTAAAGGCAGCTAGGACTCTTCTGATATGAGATTCAGGATATAGGTATACTGAGAAAAGTTCAAATGAGAGATATATGGTACTACCTCCTATCTCCATTTTTGGTATTCTAATTCTTTGGAATTCATAGTATTTTTTTCCTCAAATTATAATTTTAAAAAACCGTTATGTTGTTCATAGTTTATGTTAATATTTCTTAAACTCCCTAACTTTAAATCTCTAGCCAATTCTTTTTAAAGTTAATTAAAGCAGGAATTAAAATTTTGTATAATACTTCTCATACAGGAATATTAAATAAGAAAAAATGTACTTGATATTTCAACTTTTCCACCTGTTCAAATATCTTTGGGATATGTAATCCATGGTCTGTAAGAATAAATTTAAACTTCAGTGCTATATAAACTATAGTCACTGTTTCATTTGTAGACTTTCCACCTTTAATAACATTTTATTGTGTAAATAAAAGCTTGACATACACTTTTTAAAACAAACTTACACATTAGAATTCATTTTACTTTTGATTTACACATTAATACATTTTTTAAAACTAGGTGCCACAGAAACAGAACAACAGGTTTGGAATACAATTTAATATATTTTAAAATGAATTACATATATTTTTAAAACATGAGCCATTTTGTTACTTGACAGTTCTAGTTACTTTAATAGTTTCTGTGTTAACATGCATTTAAATCTGTAAACACCTGGTACATTCACAGTATTTGGTTTGATGGACTAATTAGTAAAAACCGTATTCAATCAATTGATAAATTAACTTTTTCTTTTATATTACAGGAAAACAACCAAAGTTTTAAGTAGCATTTTAAGAACAGATGAATTTGAAGAGAAAGAATTATTCATTTTATAGTTTGGACATCTGCAAATGAGGTGGATCTAGCAACAATAACTGTAATGGACTGTGACAATTCAATTTATTCTTAATTTTGATGGTTGAGTATTTGACTTCTCTAAAAATGAGAAAGAGCTATTTTAAACTATAAAGAATTTTCTAATCAGTTTCAGCCTTGCAGGAGGTTTCCTGCATAAATTGGGAAGTTACACTGGAAAGTAGGAATTTGGTTAGTGAAGTGGGAAGACTGTATATTTATAATTTGCGTACTACTTGCAATTTTTTGTTTTTCATCACTTGTAATAATGGAATGGAAATGTAAGCTGTAAAGACTCTCAAATATAAAATATTTGCTACAGTGTATATATGGTACATAATTTCTTGTTGCTTTTAAAGTTGCTTTTGTTGTTCTGCTTCCCACTGATTTCATACCAGCTCATGAATGGATCATTACAGTCTCTTCAGAGGCTTAGAATGATTCGGAATGTTCAATGCATAGTTCTCAATGACAGGAGGGAGAATTTTTAATGGGTATTTCTTTTCAGATATATGATTGGTCTCTAGGTTTTTGATAATAATATGGTCTTAAATTCATAATTAATAGCAGAGATTGATAATTTGGAAACAATGGTAGTGAATGAAACTGAAGTTGAAAAACAGCTGCTACTTATGTCACTAATCAGACCATATGAATAGCAGAAGTTGAGCAATTTCAAAGTAAAACTGATATTTTTTTCCAAAAGAATTTGGACATTTGAAAATAATTGACGTACATTAAGTTTTAATTCTATAATTTCTTATAACATATATGGATGAAGAATTTTTGAGTTTAAGCTTTTAATTCCTAGAAATTTTATACATTAAATCTCCTGCAATTTGTCACTCTGGATGTTACTGTTGTTAAAAAAAAAAAAAAAAAAGGATTTCTTCCAGAAAAATCTGCTGATATATAGGTAAGTGTAAACTCTCCCTAATTCTATTTCTCATATCCCTAGGTCTATTGGCAAAAAGTTTGTTTCACTGAATTTTGAACTTCTAAAACCAGTACTTTTTTTTTTCCCCGCTGATTTTTGAGCTTGTTTCCCAGATTCAAGCTTGTATTCCATGTTACGTTTCCTATCTTGGTCTTTTGGTGACCTCTCTTTTTTTTTTTTTTTTTTTACTACTTTGTTCTTTAGGAAAATGGGTTTTCAAATAGAAAAAAAAAATCTTTGTTAACTATAAACTTATTGTTTACTTTAAAATGAGATATTTATACTTAGGTCTCAGTTTTTTCTTTATTCTTTTTCTTTTTTTTTTTTTTTTGGCCCTACTTTCCTTTTCCACTATAGGTTTCAGTATATACTTGTATGTGAATACACATGCACACAGTTCACATACATACAACTCTCACAAACATACACAAAATATATGTATAATTTGTATAAGAGCTGGGGTCAGAATGACCATATAATTAATTGGTTTGCTTTATTATTTGCCCATTCTCAAGTCATTTTAATTCTTGTTTCAGAATATGATAGACCTTATTCCAATTTGGAATCTGCAGACCCTTTCCATTCAGTACTGTTACTGAAAACAGAACCCTTTTAACAAGTAATACTACCATGCTACTTTGGAAACTGCCTAGTACCCAAAAGATTTGATATGCTTTTTGAATTGGATACTTAAATGGACCAACCAAAGCAATGTTTTGATTGGCTATAATTTGTATTTTTGAAACCACTTAAAACAAACATTCCTCAAGAAGAGTTTGTATGTCAAAAGTCCTTTAGGTTTTAAAGTCTTTTGATCTTTTCTTACTATATACAATCAGTCTGCAGAGACTGTTTTGTTATGTGTCTATTTGCCTTTGTACATATGTATAGCTTGTTTGAATAATCATTGTATATCTCCATTAATGTTGTTCTTTGCTTTGTATATAAATTAAAAGAGTTGACCCAGGTGTTGTTACACAGTGTCTGTCATCCTTAGAGTTGACCAGAGGCACACAAACACACACACAAACACACACACACACGCACACACACACACACACACACACGTGTATATGTGTAATATATCAAAATTTACTACTTATTTCTAATAGAACTATGAAAGGATTTTAAAATTTTATTTATATTGGATGAGAACTAAGAGTATACAAAGGTATTGGTAAAAGTTGCTGTTTCATGAATTAGTTTGAGAAAATATTTTAGGTCAAATTTATATTTAAGAAATAAAATTTTATTAGTTCAATCTTCCTTTTTTCCTGAGTTTTTCAAAGGGGGAAAAACTGGAAAATTTTACCTTATATTTTTCCCCAAAGACTTATAGTTTCAAAGGAATTTATACTAGAAAATAACATGGCTATACATTTTTATATGTATTGTATTTTCATCAGCAGGGTTTATAACCAGGACAGATTTTTATTATTAAAAATATTTAATTTCTGAGCTTGTTGAGCAGAGTATAGATAGTATACTATCTATAGATAGTTCTATAGGTAGATAGTTTTAGTCATTCTAGTGTTGAAATTGGAAAACAGATGTCTTCTGTCTAGTCTCTTCCCTACTATTTTATGACTTCCGTAAGGTTTTGTGCTTGTTTTATATTTCTTATTTATTCATTTGGGTTAAAAGTTTATTTTTCAAGTATTTTCAAATCATTGTTTACATGCAAATATGTATTTTTCATAAGAAAAGTTAGCTGTCTGTCACATAGCAAAACTATATGCCGTAAAACTTGAACCACATTTTCCCAAAGCAATAGTCTCTTCTTTCTTGATATATTTAACTTACATAACAAGGAATTATGATGCTAATAAATGACACAATGTTGCTGTATTACTAAATGGTACTCTAACTTATCACAGAATTGTTCACTTTTGAAAAACCAGTCTATAACCTGATACATGGATAGAGAGTCTATAGGTTACAGCCAAGGTTGTTTGATGCCTATATACTAACTTTTTAACTAATGCAAAGATAATAGTCATAGGGCTGTGAGTTGGGTTGGGTATGGAGTAGACATTGTTGGAAGAATAAACTTCACTCACAGAAAATCTGTTAAAAATCACAAAACGCTGATTTAACCCTTTACAGTATACGACAGTTTACAAAATCTGCCCTATGAAGTAATACTCTAAAAGTTTCCACTTTATTTTTTCTTTATCATAACAAATTCATTTTCACAATATTATTCCTTTATGTGTATGCTTTTTTCCACATATTAGGAATTTGTCACTAAAAGGTTTTAGGTTAGTTACAGTGTAGCAAAGCATTTAGCATTAAATACTGAGAATATTAGTGAACTTTGAAAATTGAGCTAAAATTCACATGAATCATAAAATTATAGAATAAGTTTTAAAAGAGTGCACTTAGTAAATATACCAAACAAAAATGTACAGTAGATTAACAACCACAGATAATTTTCTAATTGACATTTTAGATAAGAACACCTGTTTTGCACTTGGAACCATAAGGAAAATGTCTAGGAACATCTAGTTGTTGTTCAGGATCCACCATGAAGCTGAAAAGAGAAAAACATTTTCTAAAATAATGAAAATAACTTACAGGGCAAAGAACGTTCAAGGTGCAAATTATATCTAAAGAGACCATTCCCCTTACCTTTAGTCTGCATAATAACTTATCTTTCTAGTCACCATTTCCTGACTGTTTGAGGCAAGACTGAACTCTTCTTATGCACTTATTTGTACCATATCTTTTGGCACTTTGTTGCAGTCTAAAATTTTTTGTTCTAGGTGAATAGAACTTGTTTTGGCAGCAAAATTATAAATGCCGTGAAGCTAAAATCATGCTATTGTTCTTATTAGAATCTGCCCAACACTGGTAGTAGTTAGGCCATATATATATATATATATGGTATTTATACCCAGTATGAAATCCTATATGTAGAAATACCATGTATTTATACATATAGTATACATATATGCACATGTATTTATATATTGTATGTATATACATAAATATACATATACATACATATAATATGTATACATATGTATATACATATACTATAATATATACATATAATATGTGATATGTACATCTATAACAATATACATATATGTACACATATATAATATACATATATGTATTTATAAATATGTATCATATGTATAATATACATATAAATACATGTGTAATTATACATATATTTATACATATGTGATATTTATAAATACCATATATTTATACATATAGGATCTCATAAATATTGGGTATAAGCAAGTAGATAGGTTATAAATAATATTTTAGTATATCTGTATGTTAAAATTATAAATGTTTATCCCAGTGAATATAGATATCCCGAAAACAAACCAATGGCAAAGATGTATGATTGGTGGAACGCTATGAGAAACAGATAAATGGAAGGGATTGAAATTTGCTTTCAAAGCTTTTCAAGTAATTTGCTGGAAATAGGATCTTTTTTTTGTATCCTGTTTTCTCATAGCCATAGGCTTTTCTCTTATTGCCAAGGGACATTCTGCTCCACAGACCAAGTTGATATACTGTTTTTGTCTGGGTGGTTTATGATGGCTAACGGATCTGGGCTGCCATATTCCAGTATGCTTCATTTGAAGGATTTTATATTTGAGAGGTCATTGGAATGTATTATAGTGTATATTTTCATATCTGGATGCAGTCTGTCTTAGTTGCTTAATTTCTTTAGATGTATCTTAGGTAAACCACTTAGTAGTCTTAACCATAAAAAGCAATCTTACCAGAAATCATAATTTGTAAGTTAAATTAGAAATACAAACCTACTCATACTGCGTTTTTAAATGTAATATCTGCCTTTTTTCTTTCAGATTTTAATTTTAGGTATAAATATGTGCAGCTAATACATTTTTAATTATTTATTTATTTTGAGACAGAGTCTTGCTCTGTCACCCAGGCCGGAGTGCACTGGCACGAATTCAGTTCACTGCAAATTTTGCCTCCCAGGTTCAAGTGATTCTCCTGATTAAGCCTCCCAAGTAGCTGGGATTACAGGTATGCACCACCACGCCTGGCTAATTTTTTGTATTTTTTAGTAGAGACAAGATTTCACCATATTGGCCACTAGTCTCGATCTCCTGTCCTCTGGTGATCTGTCCACCTTCACCTCCCAAA